TTTGAAGGTGTGATATGTGGGCAGGTTGGAACGGAGCTTTCATATTTCATTTTTAGGAGTGGGTGAAAGGGTAAAATTGGAGATGGAGTTAGGCAGGTTGTGGAGATGGAGCAGGTTGGACGATGGACTGAAGAAGACGTGAGGGTGGGTGAAAGGGTAAAATTGGAAATCCATCATCTTTTTCACTTTACAGTAAAACTTGTGCCAAGTCAAAATGAGAAGTTTCAACTTGGACGGAGGGAGTAATTGGAGATGACTTCTCTTCTAACTCTGTTTGTTCAACTAATTGGACAATTTTCTGATATTCATTCAAATGTCAAAGTAAAACAACAAGCTTAACTACAAGGCCTTCTAAGGTAACAAACCATTAAATTAGGAACCCAGCAAGCATGAAAACAAGAAATTACTTGAATGTCCGATAATTGCTCGGATATAATTTATGCACCATAACCTGTTAAAACTAAAGAATCTAATTTACTGCATAATTTAGATGCAGCAATGCAATCCACTAGGAAACCAAGCTTGTCCTCAAGCTAGAAAACTAGATCATTTATGAGGGGTAATGGGAATGTATAATTTGCACTTGTGCATCAGGTAAATCTCTAAACTGTGAAAAGAATGTGTTCCTGCGAACGATAAATCCATGCTGAAGAAAATGAATACCCGTAGTTCTGAACCCAGAAAACAATGTTCTCATCATCACTAGTGTCCCAAATTTACACCATCTGACGCGGGCCATGAAATGCGTGCATGGAAAACAGAGTATCATTGTACCACAAGAAACTAAAGGTCTAATAAATACCAGAGAAACAGATGATGCAAATCTATCTACAAACAAAAACACTAAACAAAAAACCACCTCACTACACCTAGTTACTCTCTAGAACATTTGTCATCAAGAGAAAGACACACGAAAACCCAACTGTCCTACGTCTTTAATCCTTGCTCTCCTAACTCTCATATCTAAGAGCCAAAGTGGTCTTAGAATTTCCATCTTATCATTTCTCCTTTTGAAGGATTCAACCAGAAGGGCAGGCTGCATATAACATTGCCACTGTGCTTTTTTGCAATAAATATTGTGATAATTAATTTTTTATACATTTAATTGGCACAATAAATTTAATGTCACTCACCCCAACCATTTCGGGTTAAGGTGCTGAAAATGATAATAATGATACTATCCTTTTCCAACTTAAGGATGATGATTGATCATATGCCTCTTACCCACAAAAATATTCTATTGGTCTTATCTGTCTTTTTTTATGTAACTATATATAACCGAGATAGTCAAAGTCTATGGTGCACTCAAGGTGCAAAGATCCTGCATTGCTTGAGGCACATGGCGTAAAAGAGCGGTTGCTTGACTCATAAAAGCACGCAACTTTGAGAAAATTTTCAACACTTTTCTAGAATCATCAAATATCTATGTTCATGAAATGAAACTCTATGCTCCAACAATAACAAAACATAACAATCCATGAGGCTTTCGTAATCTATGATACTACTAGAGTAGTAGTCCTCTACTCATTAATAAAAATTGATAACTTGAGTCAAATATTGTGTGTTAGGCAAAGCCAATCGCCAAAATTCTATATTCTCTTTCTTCTTTTTTTTGGGGGGGGGGGGGGGGGTTCAAACCTTGGTGAGGGAGTTGGGGGAAGGGGAGAGGAACCACCAAGCTACTCCTACCACCCCTATTTTCGTTATATCTTTCACTCTTCTTCTGGACTACCCTGCGTCACCCAGACTTTAGTGGACGTGACTGGTTTGCTATCTCAACGCACATCAATAAGCACATAAGTGTATTGTTGTGTTATTAGGACATAATGATATTGAAGTAAGCAATGATATATTTTGTGTTATTAGGACATTATGATATTGAAGTAAGCAATGATATATTAAGCACTACATATCAAGCATGAACTTACTAATGCAGGTCTTGACGACTGGTGCAGTAAACATGTCCTTACCATTTGAAGTGCTATTTTATTTTTCAAACTTATGTGTCAATGTCTTAACTAGTCACATTCTTTTTATGTTTCATCACTAACATATGCATGACAAATCCCATCAGCTCTGTGCAGTGCACAAAACTATAGGAGCCACAAAGATTCTCGGTCCATGATGGCCGGTGCATCATACAAATCTAAAATTATCTTTTGAGTGCTACATGATGGCAAAGGATATGGTTGATGGGGGTATGAGAATTGAGAAGATAAGAGCAAGTTGCAACTTGCAAATAATACAATTGAATAACCGAAATACTAAATTGTATATTCACTAAATTACCAATTTTAGCATGATGCCCATCAATAAGATCACCTAAGCCAATCTCCTCCAAAAATTCATCATCCCATCCACAAGCTTCCATAGTGCGTGAGTCTTTCTCATTGACCTGATGCATATGAGCATGACCAAGGTATGTCCATTTGCAACCAGTAGTGCAGAGGCTACGAGTATCATCTCCGGTAGCTCTATATGATATTGAAATCAATAAAAATTGTGTGTTCAACATTAGTGACCATTAAAATATTTAAAAGCTCTGCATTACAAAATTTAGCGTACCTGTATGATAGCCAATCACTCAAATCCATCCACCTAAATGCCATTGACCAAGATTCTTGCAAGTTTTCCTTAACCCACAAAAGCTGAGATGCAGAAATTTCTTTTAAAAAAAAGATAAATACATTTGATTCAACAGAAAATAATTATATTGTGCAATAAAGTAAAAGCAATTTCTTCTATTGTTTTTCTTTTTGCTTCCAAGTTTTCCCTTATGATGTGTGGTTGAGACTTGAGAGTGATTAATAATGGTCCGTGAGGAAATTAAACGGTGGTGGTAAAGTAGAGTAAAACTTTTACTTTCACCATTAAGGAAAGTGGGCTTTATTAAGAGAGATATTCAAAAAAGGAAAACAAGAACTTTATTTAGGGATGGTCAAAGTATTGAAGAATTTACGTTCACAGGTCAACTCCATCAGCCTGAATTTTTTGTTAGAATTCAAAAAGATAGGATTCTTTTGAAGCAAGGGTAAATAACCTGTTAGTGTTAGTTAGTAGATGCTAAATAGCATGTAAGGTCTTTATAATACATGGCGTGGACAGCTCTATTAACCAAGGTTTTAAAAGGCGAAAACGAGCCTCGAGGCGGTTAGGCAAAATGCCTTGAGGCATAAGCCTCGAGGCGGAACGAGGCGTAAGCCTCAGTTCAACTTGGAAAAAAAACCATAATAAAAACTCTTTCGGTACAAAAAAATAGAGGATCCATAATTATGTAAACTAAATCATAAAATCATACATAGGTTTTCATTTAAACAAAAAAAAAGGGTAAAATAAAAAGGAAATTAAATAATCCATATTCATGGTATTATTTTGAAATGGTATTATATAACACTAATATGTTTTAATTAAAGAAAACACAATACTTAAGTGTCACAAATCATTTAAAACTTAATTCCTAAAATAATAAAGTAGTAGGCGTAGTAAAAAAAAGTTCTAAACAAAAAAGTGAAGGAGAATGGAGTAAATACAAACAGAGTATATGGAGTACGGAGTATTAAAAAAGCTCAATAAAAAGGAAAAGAGTTCCTGGGTAAAGATAAGACCACAAGTGCAATAAGAAAACAGGGACTCAGGGAGTAGCCGTCAGAAAAAGAAAATAAAAAAGAAATAGGGAGTAGAGCTCTGGGAGGTTCGTAAAAAGAAAGGGTGTAGAGCCGTAAAAAAAAAGAGATTACAGAGTCGGAACTCCGAAGTCTGATCGGGTAAAAACAGAGGCGTGTCGATCGAAATTCTGCTTGGTCAATTGCCGATCCCACGAAACAAGATCCAAACCGAGGCTACCGCCTCACAAACGCCTTATCGCCTCAACCGCCTTGGACGGCCTCAGAAAAACAAGGCGTACGCCTCACAGATCCCACCTGGTGCGGACGCCTCTGAGGCTAGATCTGACCGCCTTACCGCCTCGAGGCGGACCGCCTTTTTCGCCTTTTAA